CTAGAATTGATAGAGTAGAGAAGGGATAAATGAAACTCGTGATGCTGTAAATCAACTAATAAATTAATTTCAGAAACTAAATATATGTAAATGTGATATTTGTGGAGAAACAGGTCATAGTAAAGGCAGTTGTCCTAATAGATAGATAGTATGTTCTAATTTAAATAGAACTTATTTTAAGCCTATCACACCTATAAATTTCTAAAATACGCCTCCAGATTCTAATAATGATGAAGATAATAGTGGTTATGATGAAGAAAATAATAGATAGATTGGATATAATCAAACGGTAAAAAAACAGGCGCTAGTAAATGAAAAGTTGTCTTCAGAATTCAGTTAGCCTGAAATGTATGATGAGCTATTACCAAAGCTTTCATCAGCAATGCGTAAATGTATCTATTTTGAAAAACTCAAGAGGAGAAATCAAAAAAAGATGAGTAGTTTTCATTCCTATAATACTTAAATACTAGTATAAATGACTTATTAATTTCTGAATCTTTTTTAGATAATGGAAGTGAATTTGATGGATTTAATTTAGCTACTGGTGAAGTACTTGGATGGAAAGTTGATAAGCCTTCTAAATTCGCTATAAAAGGTAATTCTAATTATATTTCTGAAATACTAGAATGGTATATAAATGTAGTAGTCACTCTAAAGGATATGAAAGGAAATTCAATCATCACTATTGTTAGAAATTATGCTTGTGTTGATAATGGTAAGTCCAATTCAATGCTATAGTTAAATACAATAGGAATTTGAAAAGTTAAAAGTATTTCTGATCTGATTAAAAATCAGTTTCGCATAGAGGATCATAGAAAGACATATATTATCCCAACTTTTAACAAAGCTCTAGTAGTCAAAAATCTGCCAAAAGAAGAGCAAGACTAAGTATCTATCGATTTCCCTAGCCTGACTGGTAAGGATAGTTTAAAAAAAAGTGCATAAACTGTGTAAAGCTTGAAAAATATCTTGCAAAGACTAAAGAAATAGTCTATTTGACCTTAAGTACTGGTAAATTTCTTGCTAATACATGTGAATCTTTATATAAGGGTGGTATTAGCTATTAAATTCTTAAATTTTTCACTATGATTAACTAGATTTTTAAGAAGAGATTTCACCCTGGCTTCTCAAAATGTATCAGACAAATTGTCAGAAGAAGAGACCACATTATTTTTGTTATTTTTTTCCACTATACTGGTTGCTTCAGTAACCAGCTTCTCATCTATTTTAACCTTCTTTTTTTGACCATTCTTTTTTGGAATCTCTATAGTTGGAAGGGATATAGATGATACTTTTAATACTATTTTAAGAGTCTGTTCTATCTTATCCAAAGCAAGCTGATCAGAGGAAGATAAAATAAGCCTTTGTTAGAGACGCTTACTATTATTTCATATTTCGTAAATATACTGAACACTAATATGGAATTTTTTAGCCATTTTTTTTGATACATTAGGTATTCTGCCTCTGGATTCTCTAATTTCCTTAATATCAGCTTCAGTTAACAGGGTTGTATTAGATCGATAAAATTTTTATAGAGATAGGTAGCCATTTTATTAGTTAAAATATATATGTAAAAAAAATTACCAATAATTTTTTTAATACCTTTTAATATATATCAATATTTCTAGTAATTCAATATATATCAGTGTCTTTCAAAATGAATCAGTGCCTTTCAATATAGATCAGTACTTTTTAATATATATTGGTATTCTTCAATGTATATCAATATTCTCTTTCAGTAGTATCAATAAGTATGAATGTCTGCCAGTACTTTTTAATACGTATCAGTGATTTTTTTTTCAATAAGTATTAATAGGTATTAGATTTGCCAAAAATAATTATAAGACTCTGGCTGATTTTTTTGCCTGAAGTAAAAAAAATACCAATAAAATGCCTCAAATCTGTATCTTAAAAGATCTGAATAATAGTAATAAATTTGGAGATACTCCAACTAATTATTATCCTTCCAGTCAAACAGATCTTAAAGAATAACTTTCTTATACAAAAAAAATTCATGAAGTTGCTATATATTGGGGAAGCCAGTTTGCGAATAACTATAATGTCTTAGATAGAGAATACAAATGTATACAGGATGACTTAAATAGATCTAAGAAAGAAAATGAGAAACTTTTCAATCAGATGTATCAACTTGGAGAGGAGATAACATGCTTATAATCAAAAATAAACGATCTTAAGTTTATAGACAAGATAAGATAATTGCATTTAGAGATAAATGACCTTAAGCTTCAGATTACTCGTAAAGATATTTCTCTTGCAGATGCTGAAAGCAAATTCTCTATAAAATTGGAGGAGATGCAAGTCTTCCAATCCAAGATAAAGGAAAAAATACAAACTTTCCAATTAAGAGTAAAAGAATTAGAGCAGGATGTTTTTTTAGTACAGAATAAATTATCAGAAATGAAATCTCTCAAGCGTAAATTTGAACTAAAAAAGATAGAACTATCTACAAAAAATACCAGCTTAAATTTAGCAAAAATGGACTTAGAAGATTCATTAAGCGAAAAAAAAGATAAATTAAAGCAAATAAAAGATGATTTAGTTACGGCACAAAAAGCATTAATAGAAAAAGACTTCTTCCTTTAAGAAGCTAATGATCATTTAGATCCCAAAAATATCTAGTAAGTCTAAAGTACTTGGAGGTATTAGTGGACTGGAGAAAGATAATGGCATCACTAGTCCTGAAACAACTCTGAAATTACCTAATTCCTTCTTTTTTTAGTATGCAATCATTTTCGTAATAGTATTACTAATCATATATATTTTATGATATATGTTCTTTCATCTATATTCTTTTAATTCACTTTACAATGAAGAAAAAAATATTTTGAACTATAAAATACCCTTAAATAGAAATTATAGTTATGAATTCCTAATCTGATACACAGAAGAATCAAGAGACAGAACTACCCCTATGAAACTTTACCTTATGGATATGGATAAGATCATAAAACATGAATCATTCCAAATTCAGTCACATTCTGCGAGTCCATCATGAACTTTCTCTATACTAGTCATCAGAAAAAGTGGATTAGGTAAGACTAATATCTTGACAAATTTTTTTCTCAACGATAAAGCTGAATGCATATATAAAGGTAAGAAAGGTGGTTCTAGATATATTGCATGTGATAATTTAATAGTTTGTAGTTACCACCCTGATAAGCCAAAATGGGTATTTGTGTGATATATATATAGGATAATCTCAAAAAATCCAAAAGTACCTTACTATGAGAATATACAATTTAGCTATATATCATCAGAAAAAATCCCTAGTGTAAGAGCATTTTCGCTTGAGAGAGGTATAGCGATTGTTTTTGAGGATTTATGTATAACTTCTGAGTCCATCCAAAATTGAATCATTCTATTTTTATATATGGGCATCATAGAAACATTTCAAGTATATATGTAACACAACGTTATTATCATACACCAATAATCATTCGTGAAAATATTTCATATCTAGTAGTTTTTAGTGGTGGCAGTTCCTATCAAGATATTTTCAAGATCATTAGACGATATATTGAAGATGTGAAAAATACCTCTATGGTTGTTAATAGTTATCTTCAAAAAGGTGAATTTATTGTCTTTGATCTAAATAAATCAGATGATGATCCACTGGCAATTTGGTTGAGATTTGATATTTCATTAGACTTCAAAAAGAGGTAGAGTTACGAGAGAAGCGAAAAAAAGAATCATAAAGATTCATTACTCCTGAAATTAAAGTTTTGATTTTTTTGATGAAGAATTACCTATTTGCAATGAGAAAGTTGACAATAATGATACTTGTGTAATTGCTAAAAAACGTGGTGGGCTTTGTCTTTCTACTGAATATGTTAATACTAACATTCCAATGCAATGGCGATGTGCAGACAGTCATGAGTAGACTACATCTCTTAACAATATAAAGAACGGTAAGACATGGTGTCCGTATTGTGCAAATAAGGTCAGTCATACAATTGAAGATGCTAAGCAAGTTGCTTTTAGTAAGAATGGAGAATGCCTTTCTGAAATATATGATAATAGTTTTTCACCTTTATTATGGCGTTGTTCTGAAGGGCATGAGTGGAATGCATCTTTTAACAATGTGAAAAATAATAAGACGTGGTGTTCATATTGTGCAAATAATAGGCCTTGTACACTTGAGGATGCCAAACAATTGGCTTATAATAGAAAGGGAGCTTGTCTTTCTGAATATTATATTAATAATCGTTCAGCTTTATTATGGATGTGTGATAAAAAGCATAGATGGTTTGCTACTTTTGATAACGTTAAACATTTAAACTCGTGGTGCCCATTCTGTCCGAAATGTAAAAGAGAAAAGCTATGTCACGAGATTTCAACAAAATATCTTGGCCCTCCTTCACTAATCCGCAAACCTAATTTTCTCAAAACACCAGAATGTCCCACAGGATTAGAACTTGATATTTATTACCCAGAATATGGCTTTGCAATCGAAGTACAAGGCGTACAACACGAGAAATATATCAAATTCTTCCATAATGGCGATCCCAATAATTTTATCAAACAGCAAGTGCGGGATCAACTCAAGAAAGAATTATGCAAAGAGAATCAGATTGCACTAAAGTATGTTTGGTATTACGAAGACCCATTTTTAGTTATTCCAGAGCATCTTCGTGAATTGGGTCTCATTGAGTAAACTCGAAACTTTAAATGCGTTTGCAATTTTGCGAATTAGACATTTATTATTTTTTAGTGAAATATGTGAATTATGAGTTGTTTCGATATTGGATTCACACCCCAGCTTTATCCATACAACATTTAATCATTTATTATAATATTTATATTGTATAAGAAGAGTTAAGTGTTCGGTATACTAATGCAAGATAAGAAACTTAATTGTAATGTAAAATTCATATTTCGCAATAATTAAAGAAATAAATGACTAGACCAATTCTACTAAAATAATCTTGATGGAAAGATAAAAAAAGAATGCTTTATCTATAATATCCGCGGAAATAAGATCATTCATCTAGTTGAAGAAGGGAATTCGCATATGAGAACCGGGAGGGTCTCTTTTCGGATCTTGCATCGTCAAAGGATTTTATTACGTCCTGAACTAACAACTAAATTTATAATCAATATTCAAAGTTAGCGAATTTTTGATGCATACAACACAAAACCCTGCAATAACACTAACCGCCCATTTCAATATACATTCGTAAAAATATACAAAATCTTGCATCTCCGAAAAATCCCGTGGTAAGTTGGCGTTATCAACCTCATTTAGTCGAAAATTTCCTAAATTGATATTGACAGTGAATATCAATTCTTCATAGTATAAATAAAAAAAGCATACGCACCACAGTAATCAAGATAATATAAATGAAGACGTAGTCGAAAACTCTGTGCGTCAAATATAAACAGCCTCTTTGGTAAACGCCTACGATTTTTGATTACTTCTTTTACAATTTTTGAAAATATTTTTTTCAGATTGCGGGCAATTTTTTCAGCGTCAGCGATTTCTTTATCTTGCTTCGCAACTGGCTTGGAGCCTTCCACATATACAAATTTGGAATTTATCAGCGTTGGTCATAAAACCAACGCCATCTGCACGGTTCTTATTAATATGGTTTTTCGAGGGAATCTCGCCATATTCGTAATGTATTTTCGCTACGTTCCATAAAGCACTATCTAGGCATGGATGAACAAACGCGTTAAGGTGCGCTTGCTCGATTGTTGCAATGCTTTGAAGAGGGTTTTGAGCTCCAAGTGAAAACGCTTTCACGCTACCCAAAAGAAAAATGGTTAGAACAGAATTTGGAAAAATGAATTAATATGATGATAATGACTACATACAACTGTGGTAATGTACGACGTAAAATTCGTACTAGTGCAGTAATTAGATTGTTTTGCTCTGAGGATCGTAAATCATCAATTTTAATTTGCCAATCGTTATCAGAAATATTTTGTGAGAAGAATTGTACTAGGAATTGGTGCACATCATCAGGAATTAACGATTCCGTTATAATGTCCATTTCTGATAGGTATGACTTTGCTATCGATCTTGGAAGCATTTTGAAGAAAGATGAACATGGGCGAAGGTCGATCAAATCTCCATCAGGATATTGTTCCGTATAAATCGAACAAATTTTTTCCGCTAATTCCGAGTATTCAACGGCATTCCCTAAGACATCTACTATCGCCTGCACGGTGGAAAAAAATCAATAATGTCACAATCGTAGAATGTATTATTACACAGTTACATACCATACCTCATTAAATTTTCCCACTTCATTTTCACTATTATCCACATCCTCAATACCGATGTCCTCGTTTTCCGTCGGGTTTTCGTTGGTTCGTTTCTGAGTCAGCGAAAATCTTAGTATTATTATTCATAAAAAATCGATGAAAACAACTAACTTAATCTCTTCTGATCATGAACCGATTTTCCACCATCGATACCATCGTCTAATAGTGTATGAAATGAAGCATGTGTCTCCCGTTTTCTTTTTTTTATCTTGTCCTATTATTTCGAAGATGTAACCTTTTGTCAGCATACACCTAAGTTTCTTCACTCGAATAAAAAAAAACATACATTGATTTTTTCATTCTACTTCCAATCCTCATATTGCTTCCAGTCGTCTTTATAGTCATTACCATTAAAATTTTTTCGTAAATCCAACAGCTTTTCCGATTCAGGAGCATCTTTTAACGCGTTGTCCAAACATAAACTATAATCATTATAGCCAGCTAACCTTTTTCGGTATTTGAACTCCACAAAGAAGTTCAACGGACGAGGGTCTGGGTATGTCTTCAAGAATTTGACTTGCTCTTCCCGAATTTCTTGTGATCTTGGCATTTATTGCTTTTGTTAATTTTGTTAACAGACGCGAAAAAGCGCGATAATTTTTTGCCGTGATGATTACCTACTGATTCGATAGATGATTGGTTCCTGCCATACGTATTAACATAGATTCATTTATCACATGATTGTTGTTGATCTATCTTTTCAAAGTGTAGTTGATTTACTCGAGCTGAAAAAACTGAGGTTATTCATCATGGATAGCGGGACATTATGTCCGTACGTAAATGACTGAGGTCGACCATGATGGTACGCTTCAACGTTGACTACACTTCTTTCAGTGATAGTATACTGCTTTGACCTTTTACTATATATTTTCACATATTAACAAAACCCTACGCTAAGGGAGTACTTTTCGTTTGCTATCTCGATTACTAATTTTATTTAACAAAAGCTTATTATTACCCAGACATGATGTAATAAATATAGAGGAATATGACACGCTTTCAAGGGAGGGAGTACGCGGACCCTAGGCCATATAATGCGAGTCCCTGCGTCGTATTATTTCTTTGCTCTTTCAAAAGATCTACAGCCAATTTGTTTCTATCTCCTATTGCTAATTACGAGCTTTTTCTAAATTAGATTCTCGAAATAAATAATCCCTTACATATCTACAAAAGTTTCACCTATTAACATCACTCACATCTGCACAGACTATATAAAATAATATTCTCTGCAAAAGAACTTCCTCGAGATTAAGAAATTTCGAATCTCTACAACATAAATTTGAACCAAGGTAAAAAATATTTCCAATTCATACTTACCACTATCATTCATTTTCGCAACATTCAATTTCACCTTGTATTTAAGAAGTTTGTTACTTATTTTGTATTTTCTTTACGATTCTGCGAGTATTCTGCTATTCTGCGCCAAACATTAGAGAATTCAGCACATGTAAAGAAGATGCTTATCATTTCATCACCAGAAAATTTTTCAGCGATCCTATCACGGAAATTTATTTTTGCGATACTGCATCTATTGTATGGGTGATGATGGTCAAAGATTTTCTCGGCAGGATTGAAATGCCAATATATAACAAAAAAGTAATATATCCTTGGGACATTTAAAGAGGATTAACATTGTAATGATATCATAAAATTGATACATTCATGCGTGAAAATGCCTCACACATAGTAATCTGTAATTCTGGTAGCTCCCATGAAGATATTTCCAAGATCATTAGGCGCTATACTGATGATGTAAAAAATGCATCTATGGTCATTAATAGTTACCTTCGAAAAGGTGAGTTTGTCGTATTTGATCTCACTAGGTCAGAAGATGATCCCCTTGCAATCCGCTTAAGGTTTGATACTCCACTAAACTTGCAAAAAGAAATAATCGTGAGGCAGAAGCGCAAGAAAAAAAGTGTCCAAGCTAATGAGTAGAATTTAAATTCATAGATACTAACTTTTTTCATAATTATAAAAAAATTGGAATGGGAGAACCGGTTATTTATATCGATCCTCAGAAAGCTCGAGACTTAGATCGGAATCTTGCTTTACAGAAACTTTATTACAGACCTGAGGGATATTATCGGACTGCTGAAAAAATGCAAATGACTTGTAATAATGCCGGATATAAGTTTTCTCTTACAGAAATCAAAAATTGGCTAAACAAGCAGGCTTTGCATCAGATTTACAAGTCTCGGCCAAAAATTTATTCAGTATGCCTCCTTTAATAATATTCAATTTTAAATGAAGTGCATCAATCTGATACTACCCCATGTCTCATGATAAAGTAAGTAATCGGATTTTGATTTTTCAGTAAATACAAATAAAGACCTTGTTGGAGGACTATCTAGAGGACTATTTAACGGGCCTTTCATTCCATTTATTTTGTATATAAATAACAGTTTTCTGTTTACATAATATCTCAGTGAGTGTTTCGAAGAAAAATACTATGCGAACGAAAACTTACCAAGCTCATGCATATTCTAGCTAAAAACAGGTCTCGTACGTCCTAAGTCTCAGATTGCATAATATGATCTTCATTATATCATCACGATTGATTTTGGCATTTTTGGAAAAAATAAATGCGCAGTACGGTTTGTTTCACAATAAGCCATCCAATAAAATTATCAAACTTAAAAAATGAAATAAAAAATCTTCTAGTGCATATATTTAAAATATCTCAACGTAGATCGATAGATATTGACTAGTGCTATAAAGTGACGTCGATTGAAAACTTATATCAAAAGTTATTAACTGATAAAGTTTAGGTATTTTCTTTTGAAATGAAATTTGAAACATATATTCTGGCCTTGAATTATCAAAATTATGGAATTTTATAAAAAAGGATTAGCTATATGTTTTATAAAATATATAAATTACATAGAACTGTTTCAGATTTTAATTTTTGAAAATATTGATAAATTGATAAAATAAAGTTTATTCTTAGTTTAGACTTTAATTAATCGGATGTTTTATATTTGATGGCTTTTTATGGAAAACACTATACTATTAATTTTTCTTACTGCACCGTTGTATTATTTCTTCCGAGCCTGTAGGCCGATGTGACATAATATTCATTAATATATTATTTTTTTACGCATTATATAAATTGACGACGTATATATTTTAGTAGAAATAAACTGTTATTAATGGAATATATTAAGGACCCGTTATCTAGGATTCAGTTTCGTACTGCCGCTGTTCACATATTCGAGAAGTGCCTCGAGTATCTTTCAGTCATTTTGATTGACAATAAATGGTAGAGAGGTGTATTCGGACAGTATCGCCAGATCCCAATTTTAATGAGCTCCTTTCCGCAACTAATAGATTCCGAAATAAATACGGTCTTCTTTTTGCGCATCCAATCGTTGAAATTATATTATGAGTTTTAGCGAATAGAACATTAGCCCAATGTAATAACAATTGTGATGATACATATCTTGCGACTGGTTCGAATATGATCGTTCAGGCAGAGCAGATATACCAATGAGTTACCATAATTTATAGATATTTGATAATAGTACAACTTTAAAAAGACAGTTACGATTTCATTATGGTGAAATTCCGTTACTTACTGAAGATAATAAAATGTTTTTCATAGAAATTTGGTGACATAGTTTTCTTCCGTGATAGCAATAGATCCATCCAAAACAACCTTTTTTTGAATGAAATTTTAATTACTTGCTCAAGTTCTTCGTTCAGTTGGAGAATTAGCGCAGCTAGGTTCTTTTCATTAATCATCAGAAAGTTCTAATATGACTTTAAGGAAGAAATTGAGCAAAATCTTTTTAGTATAATCTTTTGCTGTAGTTGGATCCGGATTATTCTATTTCATTTTCTGTTGTTGCAGTTTGTACTGTAGTTTTGAGTAAATGACATAACTATAAATTATGTTTTCGCGCCAAATATTCAATTTCTTTTTTCGAACTTTTAAAAGGTAATGGGCATTATCGTTATCGTAATTTCACCGTTATTGTGACATTTCGTAAGTATTTCATGACGATTCTCGGAATTTTTTTGTAAAAGTGTGTATTTGTCTTTTTTCATTCGGAATTATTATCAAGTATGTCGCTTAAAATTTTCAGGAACTCAAAATCAACCTCGTATTATATTTATCTTTTAATAAAAAAAAAAATAAGAATAAAATAAAAATCAAGTAAATTTTCTTAATAAATAAATAATAATGAATTTCTTATTACAGAAAAAAATTTCGTACATATATGCTATATGACATACAGATTTTTAGTATAAAATTTTCTGAATTCTATTTTCAGTACCGATTATATTGTTAGTTTAATTAAAATTTTAACGGTAATTTCGTTTTTATCACATTACATAAAGTGCGGAGAAAAGGAGAAAATAATTAATTAGATAATTGTAAATAAAGCCACTCGTTTTAATGATGCCCTTTAATTTAACTGAAGATTCAATTAAACACAGACTTTTTTAAGTTTCCTGTAAGTTGGTAGAACTCAAATATATTATTGTTCGAACTTTATAGGAATCAAGTGCTTACTTTATTTGAGCTTATATATACATCAATCAATAAAAAAAAATTCAGAATTTTTTATAATATGATTGATTATGTGGTACATTATTTGTCCCAATCTTTAACAAACGAAAATCTCTAAATACATATGCGCAGAAAGATAATCCATTTATAGAAAGCTATGATGACATAGATATTAAGTTAGGAAATAGTTATATCATAAGTTTTAAATTTGGTAAAATTCAAATTTTTTGTCGCATGAAAGATCATTCAAGATCTTGTCTACTTGATTTTTTCTCTGATAAGTAATTTCAGTGAAACCGATATTAAAAAATCTAATAAAAACGCATTTAAAGATAAATCTTTTGTTTTTTAGTTTACTTAATATATCCTTTTCGAGAATCAACAAAAAACCTAAAAAACCATTTTTTAAAAAAGAACACATTAATGACCATAAGATTATAGATTCTGTTGTGTATACGAGATCATTATGTTAATGTTAACAAGGTATATTTTTTGACGTGCATTCGTAGAATAATGGGTGTTCGTCCAAATTTAGTCTTAGTCCTACAATTTATATAAATAAATTCATATTTATATTAACATAAAAAAAAATTTTTTTTTTCACAATGCAAAATACTTATATTATATAATAAATCTTAATTTAAAAATTTAATCCGTTTATGATATTTTTTAAAAATTAATTATATATATAATTACTTATAAAAATAATAATATAGATCTAATTAATAAATTAGTAAAAAGTTAAACTAAAAAAATATAAATAATTTACATTGATAAATTACTAGATTCTTAAATTAATTTCTTAAATAAATATTTATTTATTTATTTATTTAACAATTAGATTTAAATTAGTATTTGTTGCTAATGAAATATTAGATAAAACGTAAAAAAAAAAACCAATTGAAATGTTTAATTTGTAAGTATTATTATTCGAATATTTTTTTTTTTAATTTGAATAAGCTATTTAAAAAAATAAAATCTTGTACAATATATATAAATCTAGAATTTGCTATTTGTCAATCAAAGATTAACAAATCAAATCCAAACAATAATGAACGTTCAACAATGATTGTTATGCAATAACATTTGAATATTTGAAAATACCATTCACATTACTAATCATATTATTTCTCTCGAGAATGGTTCGACTTCATGATTGATAATAAACGTGGGATCACATACATACGGTCTAGAAAGATTTACGCAAGTTATGGTACCTTGATAACTTTCCTATCTTATTATCTTTAACGATCTAGAGCTTGATATATTTTTTTTTTTTTGAAAAAATTAATAATACAGATATCACGTAAAGAAAAAAAAAACTTTTTTAATTCGGCGTAATAGAACAATAGCAAAATTAACAAAGGAACTTTTTTGTTAGGTCGTATTATTATTATATATATATATTTTTTTTTATTAAAAAAAATAAACGAATAAATAATGAGCTGTATGTATGTATGTATGTATGTATGTATGTGGGTTGTTAAAGTATATGTATGTTTGTGCTTTGTTCCTTTTTTTTTTATTTTTCTTCATTGTTTGTTTGAGAGTTTTCTTTATTGTGGGGAAAGTGTAAATTTTTTTTTTTTTACAATTGCCCGCCAACCAAACTATCGGTTATTATAATTCGTTCGCATCACATTCATTTGCTTAGCCACTTTCTTTATGTTAGCAACATCACTTCAATAAAATGTACAGAAATCACGTAAATGTGATGTGATTGTTGGAATTTCGTTCGTAATTGGAAAGTTTTGGGTTGTGAATGATTTGACATTTTTGAATGGATGTTACACATTCAGTAATTTCCAAAACCGTATGCTTGACGCGACATCCGTTAATGCGCAAATATGGTATTATTGTTTTTTTTTTTAAAAAATATATATATATATATATAATATATAATATACCAATGCCCATGCTTATTAAATAAATTGCTAAAAATTCGGAAGAAAATGTCTGTTTCTTGAAAATGTTGCGCAAATAAATGCTAACAAGAGTCTTGTATTGAATATCTAAAAGTATACCGAATTTCATAGTTATGCGCCATTCTAGCGCGTTTAGATTGAATCACGACAGCAGGTATTGGCAATAATTCACTAATTGATGTTATTATCGTCAGAGTTATATAGGGAATTTCGGGTCGTTTGGCTTGTGGAATGAACCACAAAATTCCTAGATAGGGCACACTTTTTAATATGTAATACTTTCTTTTATTTTTTTATAAAAAAAAAAAAAGAATCGTTACTTTATGTATTTACCTGATATTCCATATTGTGCTAAAGTTCCAATGTTCCATATAAGTAGAATTGATAATAATTTTATAGGAGTACAATTTAAAGAAGAGTCCAAAGTATCATAAACGTACCATTTATAATCTCTTGCTACATTAATTTGAGTTTTTTGTATTTCGGTAAATGTTGATGAATATGAAAGTATAGTTTGTATTTCTCCTCTCCTAACTGCCCAACATATTCGAATGGCTCTTGGTAAATTTCTTATCCTTTTTGGATGTCCAACTATCGTTAGAAATATAAATCCTGCATTTATCGTCTAAAAAAAAAAAAAAAATGGAATTAGGTTTATTTAGGTTTGATTTATCTTTTTTTTTAAAAAAATATTATCATTAATTACTTGAATAAATATTTCTATCCAAAATGGTTTTTCTTTTTTCTTGTGTATATATATAACATCAACCAAAATCAATGAATAAAGGGTTAAAGCCAAGATTAACCTAAAATAAGTCATCAATTCGATTATTCTCGATAATTTTTCCCGGAGTCTCGTAGGAAATTTATTATTGTCATCATCTGATCGGAATTTTATTGATTTTCTTTGTTTGATCCCTTTATTGTTGTTCCTACTAGGGGAAGGTGATTTAGCGGTTGCTGGAAGTGTCGGTGAAGGTATCATATATTTTTCGATGGTTTCGTTGTTGTTATCTGACGAGGATGAGACATAATTGGGCGCATGAAGTTTATATGTCGTCGTTTTTGTTGATAACTTTGACATCCTTTTTTTTTTTTAAAAAAAAAAATAAAGATGTTGATTCAACAAATGAATTTTGACAGGTTGAGAAAAGTTGTGAAGCAAAAAAAAAAAAAAATAACATTAAATAAATTCATCTACGGTATCCCAAAAAAAGGATATTAATTTTTCATGGCTTAGCAAATTTCATAATCAAGCATTTCTTATTTTGTTAAAAACCCACTTTCAAAGGGTATTCTATTCAAAAAAAAAAGACCGGTAGATACCGTTTGTAGACACTCTTGAAATTACGCCACAATCATAAACTTGATAATTATCATTCGAGGTTTAGTCCCTGGGAACTTTATAAGAGGTGCAACTCCAACGAAATACTTTTTATTATTTATTCATGAGGGGAAGAATTATACGCTATTTATTATTTAGAATCCGTTGATCAGACAATACAATTATTTAACAGAAAAGTTGGATCCGAATCAGTTAATAATTTATAAGCCTCAATATACCTATCCATCGTTTTTTTAACTATATCGATGGGTAATTCTATACCAGTTTTTTTATCAAATCCAATACTTAATAAATAATTTCTTAAATATTGTTTATCAAAACTAAAATATTACATAAGGGAGGGATTAGGTTAAAATTATAACTTTTTATTAAAAAAGGAAAAAAAAATTTTACCTGTCTTGGCATTTTTCAACTTCATAATTTGAAACAAGCCAAAATCTTGACGAATCTTTTTTTAAAGAACCATATTTGGTAAAATATTCTTATTTTAAAATATATGTTATACACACGAGTATAGAATTTAATTATCGTTACCCGGAGTTAATACTTCATCAACAAGATATAGAATTCCCGCATCGTCTCTACCAAATTCAAATTTTGTGTCTGCTATAATTATTCCTTTACTCAAGGCATATTCTTTTGCCTAAATGGTAAATTAAATAAGTTATTTTCTCTTTTATTTTTAAAAAAAAAAGGAATTGAAAAGTCATCAAGCAAATCGGACCTTTGTATATAATTTCAATGAAATTTCTGAAATTTGTCGTGCATATTTTTCTCCAATAATTTCGGGAACTTTAAACAAAGTTAGATCTACGATTCATCATTAAGTCATAATGATAACAAAAGCTCATTTACCTACCTTTGTTAGGATGAATATTCTCGTCTAAAAAAAAAACTTTTTTAAATTAGAAAGTAAATTAAATTTTTAAACATAGAAAAAAAAAAATTATGATTTACCGTGTTGTCCAATATCGGCTTTAGTACTAGGAGTATATAAAGGCAACTCAAATTGTTGACTCTCCTTTAATCCTTCAGGTAAAGTAATATCACAAACTGTTCCTTTCTTTTTATATTCAGCCCAAGCGGAACCTACGATAATTGACAACACTCCTACCGTTAAACTTCAATTGAAAATAATAAACGACATCTTTGGAAAGTGTTCGATATGAGCTACCGGTGATGTATCCACGAACGATAGCTTCCACGGGAAAAACTTTTAAATTTCTAACAAGCAAACATCGATTATCTAGCTGTTCCCGATATTGTTGTACTTTTTCTGGCATTTGATCAATTTCAGTGGTTATAACATGATTTGGTAACATATCCTTTAAATAATTAAACCAAAAAACGCTTAATTGTGTTAATAATTTTCCTTTCCCTGGGATTCCCTTGTTTTTATATAAAGAAAAAAAAAAATCTTTCAGCTTACGCATTAAAAATAAATATATAATTGATAAAATAATATACATTTTTCATGATAACATCAAACGCGCTTATTCTGTCTGTTGCTACGAATAATAAAGTGTTATCGTCTACTCGGTATAAGTCTCGAACTTTTCCACGAGTGACAAGTTCCAAGTTGGGACAAGAACTTTCGAGTAATGCCATTTTTAAAAGAAATTTTTTTAAAAAAAGTTGGGGACTTAAAAAATTTGGTTGATAATCTTGAAATTTCAAGATTATCCAAACATTTATAATGAAATTTGGGGTAGAACTTTTTAAATAAACAAAAAAAAAAAAAATGTTTATTAAAACTTCGACACTTATTTCTCGTACTCTTCTTCGTAATAGCGGAACATTTCATTCAAAAGCATTTTCTAAAAAAGTCCTCTCTAACTTTTCAAGTAAAGGTATACAACAAAATAATTTTCATCAAGCAGCGCGCAAAAATATTTCACCCTTATCAATATCATTTCGCTCAAAATATAAAATGAATGATTCCGTTTTAACGCAACAGCGACCTGAAGTTAATGAATCATTATTACATTATCAGAGTAATAATAGTAGTGGTAGTTCATTGAATGCAAGACAGTATGTTACTAAGAGTGGTTGTGAGCAAGAAGAAATGAAAAGGTGGAGTTGGACATGGTGGAAAGAATTGACTATTATTCTCACGGTGTTTGCTATCACTGGATCAACAACCGTTAGAATTGTTAGACCAATTGTCACTAATGTATTTGGAATTGAAGGTAAATATCGAAATCTATTACGTAACTTTTTCAAAATCAAAATTTAAATTGACAAATTAAAATTATAAAATACTGTTACATAGGTGGTTTCATAGATGGTCCATGGTCTTATAGGCTTACGTATCTCAGTATAACTCTTCCGTTATACTCTTTGATATTATTGGTTGTAGGAACCATTTTTAGACGTCACAATTATTTTAAAGGAATCGTATTGAGGATGTGGGGAAGATTTATTCCTAATCGATTAACTAAAATTAAACGTGATGACAGTTTGGTGTGATAAAAATATTCAGATTACTTATTTGTGATTTCGTACACGTCAAATGAATGAGAATTATCACAATTTATCTTTATATTAAATCTAAGTTTATTTATTTATTCTCATTTGTATGTTAGTTATCTTTCCAACATCTTGATTTGCATTTATTTTTTTTTTTGTTTTCACACGAAAATGTTCTTTATAATATTAAAAAAAAAAAAAAAAAAAAAAGAGAGAAAAATAAAATGTATCTAAATTTTTTGAAGAATAAAATCAAAATCTATAATGAACCTTTTTTTTTTTTTATCTTATCCCACGTAAATTCATAGAATCAACAACACCCAATTCATTATTTATAATTGAATTAGAAACGATTTGATCCGAATTCTTTCCGTGGTCAGATATTCCCCCCCAATCCTTTGCATCCTCATATCCCACACCAAAATCGTCATCCAGCACCTCGGGGTGTTCTTGAACATATTTTGGCCAAACTCTTTGTAAGCTCTCGATAATTGGATCTCTACATAATAATATAGCAGCATGTTCTCTGTTGATCCTTTCAATAACTTTGGTTAGTCTTAATTGATTGCGCGGATGAATTAAATAATTTTCGTCATCTGCAAGAAAATGCTGTCTTTGAAGGAAAAGTTTTTGTTGAGTACGTGATATTCCTCCTGAAGGTGGAAATTGAGGTTGATGTGGAAAATTCAATGGTTCAGATGTGTAAGAATCATCTAGCGTTAAAGGTAGCATATTATAATTATCATTATGATTAGATTGATTTTGATTTTGATCTGAATTATTAATAGGTTTGAGAAGAGAAGAATTAACGTAAGAAGCGTCATGAATATTTTCTAAAAGTGATGGAATTGGTGTTGAATCTGGTGATTCTGCTGGAGTGCTAAGAATGGATTGTTTTGCCAAAGGTACTGATGTTGTAGGTTGTTGTTGTGTTGTAGCAGTTACTGTCGTGGCAACAGGAGATGCTGCTTGATGTGATTCCGATGTGGGTTTTGACGTTTCGAATGAATTCGTCCTAATGGCATTTTCTTCTTTAGGTGTTGGTTGCTGAATTGTTTGTTGTTGTGGCGTTTGTGATTCCGATTGAATTTGAATTGCACTCGTATGGTTAGTATTAACCGTATCTTTTACAGGTTCTTTATCATCACTCTCAATTTGTTGAGCTTTTCTTTTTTCCTCTGCAATTTTAGCAATTTCCTCTGCTGGATAAGGTTTGTAATACCTTGATTTTGTATCCCTATGGTTTTCCACTACATCTTTGGCATTTTCATGAGATGTCGAATAATTATAATCATCGGGACTTTCTTCATTACCAACTACGAACTTCTTAAATTTACTACTTGTTTGTGGTGCGCTATCATTGTGATTATTTTTATTTTCGCTGTTGTCGTTGCTATCGTCATCATTAACGTTTGCCGTTATTTGTTGTTGTGTCGGTTGTAGTTCTGAAGCTTCTGCAGTTTCCTCGATCTCGGTTGTGATTTTAATGGATTCTTTCTCCTTTTGTTCAAAAGACATTTTTTTTTTTAATTTTAGTAATTAAGGTGTTAAAAAGAGAGGAAAAAAGAAAAAAAAAAAAATTTTTTTTTGATAATGAACCTATTAAAAGGAAAAGTTATTCGAAACCAATAAATTAATTCAATGTTCACACACAAAACACTACAACACACATATGTTATATATATCTTGGTGATCAAAAGTAATGGAGACGGAATAGGAATTTGTTGATCTCTGAGATCTTTTATTGCATGTGATTTGAACATTTGACTGACTGGAATCCTAAATAGGAGGGTTTGTGAATGTCTTATGATCTGTAACTTCCGTTTATCACAAGGATCAGTTTATATTTCGTGTGACTTTGCTTTTCCGAACATGAGTTGTTATCATAATCAATGCACGAATATCAAATCAATTTTCAAATCACATGACAATTCACCCCATATGTCATCTTTTGTTGATAAAGCATATCTGAAACCTGTGACAGGTTACGCCGACGGTGTGGCGCAGCTGTCAACCATCAGGCATAACAAATTAGACGCGATCACAAGTTTCGTGATCCAAACAATAACAGTTCGTGTAATTTCTTTTCTTTTTACTATACGAAAGTATATACACTTATGAAAATTCCCTTTTATTAAGAAGTACCTGTTGATTTTAAGTTACACAATTCAAGTTTCGTGATTTGTGAAACAGTACGCGATTATGGAAGCCGATAACAAAGAAAATACCTCCCAGGTTAGTCAATCTTGCACATTTTTTTGTTATTATCGAAAAATGTACTTTTATAATAAAAAAAAACTTTATTTTATATATTTTAATATTTTATATAGAATCTATTTAATGTATAATTTATATTTCTATTGTATTATTAATATTAATGTAATAATGTCTATTTTTTGTATTTATTAATATATAGTATATATAATAAATTATCTAAAACTATTTATTAAGTGAAGAATTTTACTTGTTGTAATTTAATGTTAAATTAACTAAATTAATTTAATACATTTAGATATTTACCTGGAATTTGTTACCAGATGTTTTAAAACCAATCCTTCCTCAGAACTATACATACCTAATCAAAAATTTTAATGATATGCCCCCGTATCAAACACAAGAGAACTTTGAAGTCCCAAATTTTGAGTTGGATATTTTTGTAGATGTTGGTAGTAAAGAGGCAGCATCCAAATGGATTGCAGAATTCCAATCTTATTCAAAAACAACGATGCCTCAAACAAGAGGCTATGACATTAAAGGAAATCGTGTTCTTTTTCGAGAAAAATGACACTGTCTTTATAGTCATAAGGTGAAAAAAAACAAGGGAAAAACTCTACAGTAAAGTGTTTGCAATCACTTCGGGCACGAGATGTAGGCTGTAATGCTACCATTTATATACGACTAGAGCGTCATTGACTTCCGCTTACCCATCCATTAGAAGTTAATATAAGGTATATGCATAATCATGTGATCAACTCAGCAGAGTCGCTAAGTTTTCGACATGTTAACGAAGAAGTTCGTGAAGAACTCTTCAACCTTTTCAAAGATGGTCATTCCCCCACTTCGGTACTATATGTTTATCAAGATGAACTTCATCTTAGAGCTAATGATGAACAGGAATTGATTGAATTTCTTGCAGATCGATCGATAAATCCAGACTATGACTATACCACAAAGCTTTTTCAAGAATATCGTAAGGCCACGCTTGGAAATCGCAATGGTAAATCAATGTTTGAACGACTAGCAGAAGTCGTTAAAAATTATAATGATTCAGATCAGGGAAAGACCATTTTACAAGCATATGATGCACACATAGGAAAAGCATTTATCCTTTGTATTGTGACCAATCTCATGAGCCGAGTGCATGAAAAAGTTTCCCAAGCAGGAGAACTTTGTTATGTTGATGCATCAGCTTCATTTGAACCGTTAAACACTTCAATCACCCTTCTTTATACTAGTTGCACAGTTGGAGCTCTTCCTCTTAGGTTGTTTATCACGTCGGATGAGCTTGAAGTTACTTTGGAAAGAGCGGTATTTAATTTCTTATTATTATTGAATAATCTAGTATATATAAAAAAAAATATGGTAAATTAATTTATATTTGTTATTTATTGATTAAACCTAGATTAATATGCTAAAGATAATACTTCCTTCATATGCGTTTTACGGCTGTAGACCACAAACAGGATCTATATTATTTCTTACAGATGATTCAAGTGCGAAGAGAAATGCCTTGGAGCTATATTACCCAAAAGGGATCTGCCTTTTATGTACGTTTCATATCCTACAGTCATTTTGGAGATGGTTACATGATGTGAAATATCACATCAGGAAAGAAGATCATGCATCTATTATGGCGAAAATGAAGAAAATTATTTATGCTGCTTCGAGTGTGAAAATGGATACATGCTATTATGAATTCAAACAAGAATTCTATCATACTTACCCTCAGTTACAAAACATTTTGAACTTCTTTGGAAACGCCGAAACTTCTGGGCTCTTTCTTATCATATAGGATTGCTCACATGTGAAAACAATACAAACAATTATATCGAAAGGAGCTTTGGAATATTGAAGGATATTGTTTTTGCAAGGACCCAGGCATTCAACTGCGTTCAAGTATTTCAATTCATCATTACAAACATGGAAAGGTTCTACAAATATCGTTTACTTAACTTTGCAAATAAACATTCGGATCATCTACGAATCGCGAAACGGTTCTTATGTCCCAGTTGAGAACAAGTTAATGCAAATGAAATTTGAGAGACAAATGTAACAAACAAATTTCTGGTACCCAGTACAAAGTAAAATACTGATCTTTTTATATTGTAAACATCGAAATTGGAACATGTTCCTGTTTTGTTAGGATATCCAGTACTTCGTGCAAGCATTAAGGAGCTGTTTTAGTAAAGTTTGGCATTTTAACGTTCAATTACATTCCATCATTGATGCCGGATGACCACATACTTTATACTTATATAGCATTAGGTAGGTAAATGCTTTTTGCTAAATTGCATTTTTATTGCTAATTTATTAATTTATTAATTTTGTCTAATTTAACTGCTCTTTAGGTTATATTGCTAAGCATAGGTCTTTCTATACATCATTGCATGCACGGCCCACTTTACAAAATCAAATCTTACATGCTAAAATAGGAACATCAGATAATAATTTGATTATAGATTAGGAGTAAATTTTATTTTATTAATTAATTATACAAGAATTGAATAATTTACAAAATTTCTGATAATTTTTTTAGAGGAACAAATGAGAAAAATAAGGAAACTGAAGAAATTGGTATTTCTGAATTTACTTCTTTCTTGGAGGAAGTAAAATTAGATTACCAAAATTCCAGTCAAACATTACGAATTGCGCTGGATAAGTTTAAAGATCGATATAATGCAGCAAAGGCTTTGTCTGTTCCCAGATTATTCTCTTTCCTATATGACCTTAACTGCGATTTAGACCCAATGGCCCACATAAAGAGTGATGCAAATATACAGGTCCAAGTAGAATCAATCAAACGATGAAAAACAGGGGGAAGTAGTTCTAAGTGAAAACTACCCGTAACCAATAACAGAAAAAAAATTTGGATTCTATGGCTATTCTGACCTGAAAGAAAAGAAAAACAAACAAGAAAAAGCATAATTTGAGTAAGAATATATTAAATAATCAACAAAATTGAATGTTTTTATAGCATTTATAGAGCATTTATAGAACTTTTATAGCATCATATAGTGTTTATATAATATTTATTTGCATTTATCTTTTTTTACTTTAATTAATACATGCTTTTAACTATAGAAAGTTTATACAATAAAAAAAATGCTAAAAATAATTATTTTAAAGTATTCTTTATGGTTAATTTATGGTGTTCAGAACTATAGCTCGAAACAAAACTTTTGTTCGAAAAAAAGAACAGTCAATTTCGTTGGCATCAACTATGAGATAGTCAAATCTAATTGACGTTTACAGTTAGCTGCGCTACTTAGTCTAAACAACATATTTGACGTAACCTGTCACAGGTTTCAGATATGCATTAATTGCATACTTTATGAATATAATTATGAAATTGTTATATGTTATATTTTCTATTAGAATAATTATATTATAAAGTGATATGCAAAAAAATTGACAATTTTTAAATTAAAATAGTTAAACAACCATTACAATGTATAATATATCAATTTAAAGCTAAGAAGCAATAGATTTTATTTTAAAAAAAAATTATATAATATTTATTTTCTACTTTTCTTAATAATCTTTATGCAATGTTATAATATCAAATCTATAAAATCAATTATAAAACTATTTGATATTTTTTCTTAATCACTATTTATAAAACTTTTTAATTTACTAAAATTTTTAGCTCATATAATCCCATATTCTTTTTAATAATTATCCAATATTTTTCAATGAGTTTTAGATCTAAATTATTAAAAGATTAATCCATAATCTTTAGAATATTATTTTCAAAAAATTATTTAATAAAAAATTAATAATTTAATAAAATAATTAAAATGCTATTACTAAAGTATTTTTACATTTAATTTCTTTAAATTTTTTTTTAAGATTAATAATATTTTATGTAAAATGCTTATCAATAAGTATATTTTAACATGATAGTGTATTTTTTGCCTTTAGAAATTTAATTAGATTTTTGTCTTGTTAAAATTACTTTAAAGCTCAATAAACTAAATATTTTATTAAAGTATAAAAAAGTTTTACTTAAAAATATTATTTTAATTATAAGATTTTTATTTATAAATTTATTCATATATATACAATTAAAATTAGAGAAGTTAATTTGCTATAATAAAATTGTCATTTTTTTGTATACTACTATATTACCATATATAATTATCTAAAATTATAATTAAATAATAATTAGTTTATATAATTATAGTTTTATAATAAAAATAAAGTAATAAAAATATATATTATCTTATAAAATCAATTAAAAATAAAATATTATATAAATAGTCTTTAAATATTTATTAGATTATTATTAATTAAAATTTAATAAAGTGATATATTACTTAAATTAGATTATAATTATTATTTATTATCTAAATAATACATATATAATCTTATTACATTATAACTTCATAATTTAGATAATATAGATATAATTTGATTTTATATAATAACATAACTATTACTTTATAATAATCTAATTATTTTAATATAACTCAATTTTATAATTTAAATAAAAACTTTTGCGTTCTCATTATTTAAATATTAATTATTTTTTTAGCATTCTAACTATTTCTTTAGACCTTTTTACTATTTGTATTTATATACAGAGAGTAGACAAAAGTATCTGCACACTTTTTCATTCAATATAAAACTTAAATATTTTTGCAATAATAATAAAAAGTCAATTAATTTTTATTTAAAGCCGATTAATATCTACATTTTGTATTAAGTAACTAGTACTTAATTAGATTACCATTTGTCGCAATTACCACTTAAATTCATTGTGACATACTATTAACTAAGTTTTCAATAGTATACTTTAGAATTTTCTGCTATGCCTTTTTAACATATCAGTCAAGATTAGTAAAATTATATAGAGGTTTTTTATAAGCTTGGATGCTTTTCTTGACTTTAGTCCAAAGATTCTCAATTGGATTAAGATTGAAACTTTAAGCTGGCCAAGATAATGTACAAATATTGTTTTTTGCTTGAAAAATTATTGCAGTTAATTCTTTGGTTTTTACCATTTTTTTTAGATTTTTAGAGAAGAAAAATTTATTAAAAAAAACAAATATGTTATTCTTTTATTTTTATAATATAAGTAAACACTTAAGTGTCATGTAAACGTAATTTGTTATTATAATTATATAATTTTATTAGCATTAATTCATGTTTATAGAGGTGTGCAGATACTTTTGTCCACCTTTTGTAATACAAATTCTTATAGTAAATAAAAATATTAAAATATTTAAATGCAAAAAATATTTAACATTTATAATTTTTTTAATTTTTAATAATATTATGATTAATTGGACTATTTTATTTATTTTTTTTCTATTAAATATAAGAATATAATATCAGCTAAACCTAAAACTAATAGATTTTAAATAAATTTTTTTTTATTTTTATTTAATAGAGTTAATTATAACTTTTTTGAAGGTATTTTCACATTATTCTTACATATTTTTGCATTATTATAATTTAATTAAAGATTTATTTAGTTCTTATTTAGATTTTCTAATATAATATCTATATAAAAATAAATTACTATTATATTATAATAACTAGTAAATAAAACAAAAATATAAGTATTAAAGTAAATATATAAAATAAGTTAAAAATTTATAAGTAATTGATAAAAGTATTTTACTTACAATATATATTTAAAAGTAAATTAATAGTAATTTTTATTTATATTTTTATATATTTTATATAATTTATTTTATTATAAATAATATTCATAATTATTTTTTTATTATAAAATTTTTTTAAACTCTAAATAATAAGTTCTAGGTAAAACTTATATTTTTACAAATATAACATATCTTTTAAACCTATTTGATTATTTATTAATCCATAAAAAATAAAATTTTTAATAAAAAATTTTTTATAATACAAAAAATTATTAAATGAGTATTTAAATATTTAAAAAAATACTAAAAAATTCTATTAAAAGAAATATATTGTACTGATATTGAACAAATTATTAAAATAATTCATAAATGTTATATTTATATAATTTTATATTAATATATAGTCGTTTCTTTTTATAGTTATACCCCTTAAGACTAAAAATAAAATGTGTAATTATAATAAAAAGTTACTATTCAAAGGAATTTTTATATGTTATTACTAAGTGTTAGTTCTAAAAAGATGTAACTATAAAAATATTATGATTATAAAAGAATTTTTTTATATAGTATTAATAGGTATTAGTTCTTATGAAATGTGTGCTTATAATGAGAAATTTATATAATGTAATTGTATAGAAAGTGACTATAAAGGAGGATGTCTGTAGGTAATTTTTATATTTAAAAGATATTATAAACATAAAAATAAAAATTAATATAGAAATTGAATATGAAATAGTAAATGATAAAAAAAGAAATACCAAATATTTAATAAAAATAATCTTTGGCTAACCTTTTAATTTAATAAAAATATATTGATTACTTTTTACATATGTTATGTATATAATTAAAATAATATTATTAGGGGAGTAACACATATTATGTCATTATAGGTTTATTATAAAGCTGATTCCCTTTCTCCTTAGGTTAGACTTATTAATCACGTGATTTGTTAAATTATATATATTCAACCAATTATCATTTTGATTTCATTCAAAATCTTTTTTTTTACTGACATTCAAATAATGTAAAATTTAAAATGAATGTAAAATGTAATGCTCCACTTTTTGAAAAACCTTAAAAAAATTTTTTAGAATTTGTTTAATATATAAGTTATTTTAAGACATTTATTTCTGAAATATTTTTTATAAAATTTGGAAAAAATTACAGAGGAATTCAAATCTATGGAGACATGGAGTTGTGCCAGCTGGAAACAAATATGCATTAATTTTAATAGTCAATAATGACGATATTAAATGGTCTACAAAAAATATATATCAGATGATTTACATAGTTCAACGTAACTTGTGAAAGTTAATTGAAATTTTCGTGTCTATGAAAATTTTTTATTTTTTAAAACCTCAATATGCAAGCCTTTTTAACTACACCAAAATATAATAAATTTTATATTTATAAGACTCCTACAAGCCAATACTAAAGGTTTTGCAATACTTTTGGATATCATCATATAGTGAATACAAAAAACCCTGTATACCTAAAAGTTAGTCTATATACAGAATGTAATAATGTATGGAAAGAAATTCGATATAAATCTAAATAAGAAATTGAAAGTAAAATCAGAGAATACTTGGCAACACCAATTCCAATCCAAGGTTTTATAAAAATTAATCAATCACGAACCAGCCTATCACAAAATTCAAAATCCACTCAAATTAACCAAGTTCTTTAAAGATCTATTGATGAGATTATTGTAGCTGATTCTACTCTGCCTCCTAATGCCACTGCACAAAAAAAAACCGCAGAAACTATTAATACAACTAATACAAAGCTTGCTGAACTTCAGAGAATTTATAATTCTACTAATGACTTAGAAATTCAGAATAATTTAATGGGGTGTATGGAAACTCTTAAATAAGTTCTGCATGATGAGAATAATAAGATTAAGAAATTGAAATGTCAAGCAGAATATCAACAGAAAAGTAAAGAAAAAAAAGCAAAACTCCTGCAAGAGCATCAAGAAGTAATACAATATGATTTACCTGATCATCCACCTTTTTTAATTCAATATACCAATTTACATGAGCATATACATGAGTGTATTGAGTTTAGAGCTGCAGATAAAAAGAGAAGAAAAGAAGTGATTAAAATTAGAATGATTTATCATCTTCGAGAGAAACTTAATTCAAAATATAATAAATAACTTTCTCGCATCACCCTCAACAAGTACTTACTACCATCTC